AGTGTGCGTGTAAATGAAATGTGTTGCTAACTTGTCGATCTCTCTCCTCAGTACTGTAAGTGTCTGGCACTCGGGCAGCCCTTCAGCTTCGGCCAGCAGGATATGCCTCGTCTGAGGAGGAACATGTACAAAGAACTGTGTCACTGCAAGCTCACCCTGTGACCCCCCTCCCCCCCCCCTCCTGATCTTACCTACCCCCGCCCGCCATCTCCACCTGCTCCCACCTGATCCCGACATCACGGAGAGACTTTGAAATAACAAGAAGAGGACACACGGGGGAGCTAAAGAGTGACTGGAGAACTTTTCAAAAACTGTATTTTTCTCTGCCGACATCCAGAGATTCTTCTTCTTCTTCTCTTGTAGGTGACTTTGTTTTGTCTCTCTTTGCTTCCCTCTCTGCACCCTTTGAGAACTGTTTAGTTTCCAAGTCACGGTTATTCCTTTGTGGTTGACAGAGGCCAAGACTAGCTTCCTTTTTTACATTTTGTCCAGGATGTGCTGAACCTCCATCCCATCGAGTCCGGCCATGTGTTTCTCTCTGAATGAAGGTCGTCTGAAGAGTCCAGATGAAGTGTTGGACCTAAGTTAGTCTTTTCACCTGAGCTGCCGGCGGTTGATTTGAACGGCTCTGTGTCAGCTTGTGGTTAAATAGTTCCGCTGCTCGATGATGATCCATCCGGCCCGCACAGCGTGCGGTGCTCCGCTCCGCAAGTCGAATCTAAAGGTGTGTTCAGACGCAAAGTGATCAAATATTCCACAATGTTTTCAGATTCTTATGATCTAAACCAACTCCTTTCAAAAACTGAAGATGAGAGGCACGTCTCCGTCTGCTCTCTTTTCTCACACGCTGTGATAGAAAACATCTTCTGCTGAACTCTTTGATTCATTAGAAAAGCAGCAAACAAATCTTAAAATGTCTTTATTAGAGCGCTGGGTAAACTGAAAAGACACACGAAGCATTCTTTGTTTTGACGTTTCAAACTTTAAACAAACTTCAGATCTCATTTTAAAACCGGCAAGCATTTTCAAAACTGCACAAACGCGTTGGCAACGTTTCTATGTGGCGTCTGTGCTGCTTAGACCGCGTGGAGGACTTCTACTTCCGCTGCCGTGGGCGATTATGTTTTAGAATTTATCTTGAATTGAATCGACGTTTAGAAAATCCAGTATTGTGACAGTTGAACACGTCTTTCGTGTTTTCAATCTGACAACTTTTAACGTCATGTGAAGCGCCATCTAATAATAAAGACGTTATTTTCAGAGATTAGTCGATGATGTCTGTTAACATCCCGAGGTTTAAAAGCAAACCTCGTTCAAAAAGACGTGCCTCTAAGAGTTACACGCAGCAGGTGATTCATGAAGGAGGGCTCGGACATGCAACGCTCGCTCAGAGGAAGCATGAGAAATGTTCAAACCAAACTCCATTCAGGAAACGAGCATTTTAAACGTGTTTATCTCATGTTGCAAACGGAGCGGACAAATCCTGAATTCAGACTTTTCACAAATCCTCCTCCTGATGTCGTTATCTCGGCGTCCCTTAGAGCAGGTTGTTGTCCTTAAATCGGTTTATTTTGGCTTCATAGTGAAGGAATGGCACAGGACACAAAGGAGGAGATGAATCAGCTATGTGTTCACAGAAATATCCAGCAGGAAGAAAACGTGGATGTGTTTGAATAAATATAAAAAATGATCCTGTAGTCAAACTTTTGCTCCACTTTCTGTCTGAACACCCCGCCCCCCTATCCTCAAGCTTTACATATTGACAATGCTATCCGTGTAATGAGCACGGTGTGCGACACCACCTGTCCAGTGTTCCATATTTGTTAGTCACACGATGTCTGGATGGAATAAGTGAGGATGAAAGTGGAACTTAAAGGAAGCAGTCGTGTTTCACGCTTTTTTCCAAGCGATATCTGATTCAGCAAAGAATCCCTGAATTACACGACGTACTGCCCCGCCCCCAACCGGCCCTCCTCCATTGCTCCTCGTCGTCAAACAGACTGAACACCTTCAAACGAGAGAGACCGGATCTGCATCGACGCCCCCAACAGGAGCAGAAAGACTCGTCGGGTATCTTGACATTGCATTTATCTTTTTCTGTGTTTATCTCCGTCAGTAAACGTGTTGATATGCTTCTTGCTTTAAACAAACGGTGTTAAAAAAAAAAAAAAAAAAAAGGAGGACTTTGTGTTATTTTGGGGGAGAAGAGCAGAAAGACAGTCCTCTGGTTCGTGTTTTTTTTTTTTTTTTTGGAAGAGCCATGTCAGCGAGGACCACGACAGACGGACGGACCGAGCGATCGCGTACGTCCACGGCGGTGTTCCAGGACCCTCCTCTTCTTTTTATAACAGAAGACAGAACTTGTTGATAGCTGTGTGTTTGTTTTTTTCCTTTGTTTTTTCTTCAAACAGGAGTTGATGCAACAGAGTTGACAGTTTTATATATCTTCTACGATGCGTTATGGTTGCTCAAAATAAAAATACACAGCAAACTGTTGACTGTGCTTTTCATCAGAAGTCCTGCCTGGGCGTGAGCCGCTGAGTCCACATGATTACTGCGTTCTCTAAAGATGGGAATAATATTTCTGTTTCATCAAAGAATAACTTTCTTTGTGATGTTAACTCTTATCCTTCATCAAATCAAAACTGATGAGTCATCAAAACATTCACCCCCCCGTACAGTGTGTGTCGATCGAGACATGAGCTAATCAGACCTATTTGGTTTTTTGAACCAGGCTGTAAACATGTTAAACTCTGCTGTACAAACAGGCTTTTTAGAATGTGTGTGTGTAAGTGACTTCCTGTGCTTCCGCAGCCAGCCTCTAGTGGACACTCAAGAAACTTAAGTATTTTATACTTCAACATCAGCTTAATTTTTCAAAATCAGAGGTTGCTGCTTGATGTAAACGTGTTATCAGCCTAAAATCACGACTTTATCTTTAAAGTTTGACTTTATTTTTAACATTTGGACTTCATTATTGAAATGTCAGGTTATTCTCTTCTACAACTTAATGCCAGCAATATGACGACTTTATTTTACGTTAAAATTCTGTGGGGGAAAAGTATTCTTTCATTGAAACCTTTATTTACTCTCTAAAAAAACATTTAAGTTTCCCTCATTTCAGTTCAGCATGTCGTCCAGATTACAAGAAGATATCGTTTATTAAAGCCTCATGGGGAAATTACTTCTGCCCTGTGTTAGGGAGACATGCCACACACACAGGCTAAAATACACACACATGCACAAACAGGATGACAGAGTGAGGGGGCACAGTGAGCGAGCGCTCCTCAGCTGGTGGGGGTTCAGTGCCTCGCTCAAGGGCACCTCTCCAGCTACTTGGACCAGTGACCCTCTGGTTCCCAACTTAAGTCCCCACAGACTGAGCTACTGCCACCTCGCATTACAAGAAGAAAAACAACAAACACTTATAATCAATTACAATTAAGTTAAATTAAAACACTTTTGGAAACAAAGTGGCTTCAAATCAAAATCCTAAACTCTGCTAGAGCAGGAAGAACTCTGAACTTCAGACTTTTCTGAGGGCGTTCAACGAGTTTGGAGCATCATAAGAAAATTTACAGAGTTTGGTGAAAGCTTTGAGGGACTTTAAGAACGAGCCAATGAGAAGAACGGGTCATGTAGGTTCCCCATTTCCACTCCAACAGGTGATGTAAGGTGGAAGTTTTCCGATAAGAGCCTTGAAAATATATAAAAACCAAGGCTTTTTGTGCCACGGTGAGGAACACCAAATCTATCTCCAGTTATAAATCTGAGAGCGGAGTGATCGACAGCGTCCAGAGGCTTTAGAGTCGAAGCTGCAGCGTTTTAATAGTAAATGGACTTGAGCTTGTTTAGTTGTTTTCTAAACTTCTGAATACTCAGAGCACTTTTGCACCGCAGGTCAACCCTGATCCAGACTGGTCCGAATCAGGTTTGTGTCTAAACTGAGATGATCACCCCAGCCTGTGCAAAGTGGACAAACCAATAAAAATATATGGGACCTAACCCCCTAAACCCCGCATTCATGTGGTGTCGAAAATGCACATGAACGCCTTCTCAAGTCAGAGCAACAACTCTGTGGAGAATTGGTGACTTGCTGTTATATTCTTCATCAAAAAGATATTTTGTTAATGTTAAGACACTTTTAATTCACGTATTGCACATCAACTTTTAGCTCAGATATAACTTTTAACTATTTTAGGACTATCCTAGGAGCACCTGAAAGCAGCCGAAAACATGAGTATCTCCCCATGTTTCATCTCTAACCAAAACAAAACTGTTAAACTAAACAGTTTGGGAATGTTTGATACTTTAATTGGTATAAATTAAACTTTTGATTGGATTTTGAGGATCAGGTATCTCATTTATTCAGAAAAATAGAGCAGATTTTATTTCTTCCTGTGAATGCAACATACTTCCCAATCTTTAAAAATAAGGGAAATAAATTTGGGGACCCCTGGAACCTCCTCAAGGAAAGCCTGAGGCTCCCCAGACCCCACTTTGAATCCCCTGGTTTATTTAGCTCAGACTGTATGTGGGACATGTTGCATAAAATACTTCAACATGCTTCACTCATGAAGCTTCTGATGACTACAGTGTGACTCAATCGCAGTTTCATTGTGTGCAGGAGACATCACAGGCTGCTGGAGGTGTCACTGCTGTAATTTTCCATGTTTTGATTCTGAGAATATCCGACGTGAACTATGGTTGAAATGGAAACATGAGAACAATTATTTGGTCTTTTGTCCGCCTGGAATGATGGCTGAACTGAGGATGCGACTTCGGAAAATGTTCACCGGCTTATCCCGGACGAAAGGAGCTTCGTTTCCTCTCATGCAGTTTCGTAATAAAACGTTAACCCCGCTTTCTTGGCATGCTAACGGTAGCACAATCGCCCACTCCTGTTGGCGCTAAAACCCGCCTTCTTTTGTGTGGCGTTCAAGACGACCAATCACAATCGTCCATGGGCGGGACTACAGCTAAATGACGGCGGTGTGTTGCAATGAGAAAGCCTCTTTGTGTGTTGTCAACGTATAAAAGACATTTCTGCCGCAGTTTCTTTCTTTGGAATAATGTCGGCTGAATATGAAAATAGGTGAGGAAATATTTTCATGATTTTAAACGTATTCTGCGTTTATAGAGCTGAGTTTTTGTATCGATGTTAACATATTTGAGGTAATATGTGACTGTTGAAGATAAAGACTTTGAGGGAGGCAAGCTAACGGAACGTTTCTTGAGTAACCACCGGGCCTGCCGACAGCTAGCTTTAAGCTAACATTAGCCATTATCTTCTCGTACATGAAAAACAAATAAAAAACAAACATACATCCTAATTGATGCCGCGTGCTTAAGATCAGCGGGGATGTAACGATCGTTCCCAAACGTGACAGAATAATTAAGATGTCGACCGGTGTTGTATCGTATATTGCTACCTATCGAGATGTGTTAGCATGCGGCTCTGTGCCGTACGTAAAGCTTTATTTGATTTTACGATAATATATACATGAAGTGAGTAGTGGATTATAGTAATTACTCGATCTGATCGCATTATTATTTAACAGATACAGACAGCTGCTGCTGTATGTTAACATTTTCGATAGGGTAGCAGATCACGACAGAACACCGGCGTTTTCAGTAGCACGTGAACGCGCGTGCTGAAGGCCTTCCTCATCCCCCTATTTTATTAATAAATTCCGCACATCAGAAATCTCGATTTATTAGCTAATTTTTGGTTGGAAATGTTAAATGATTGGTTTTCACACGGTGCAGACAAACTCTCGGATGTTTTGTTGAAGATTTTCGTGAATTCGTTCTTTTTGATGTGTCGCGCACATGGTCGCGTGAGGGGCTCGGACAATGCCGGTAGAGTAGGCCGTCCGGGCCTGCGCTCCGAGAAGCTTTCCCCACGCTGTTTCCGCCGTGTTCACGGTTATATCTACCTCCCCAGACAAAGGCCAGGCCCATGACCATGATCTGAACGTTTAAAAGGTTTCGCTGACTCGACAAGTACAATAAAAGGTCACATAATGCGTAGCGGGGCCCGTTAGCTTCGCCTGTAAGCCTCGCCTGTTAGCTTCGCCTTTTCTTGACTGAAATAAAGTCTTGTACTCCTTATTTCTGCCCCAAATGTCGATGTTGGGCGGTAAAGGCGTCACATTAAGCTGTTAGGCTGTATTAATTTGGTTAAATTGGCCGTAGCCGCCGTTCTCGTGGACTCTCGTCGATTTCAGCTCAGATGAAGAATCGACCATCTTGAATAAATGTGGTAAAAATGGCGGACTCCTGAAAAGGCGTTTGCACCCCAGCAGACGTATAAAATGGCTAAAGTGATTTCCAGTCAATCATAGCGCTCAGGATACGAACTGTAGTCAATGTTTTGTAAATAACCACGAAAATGTATTGATAATGGTTAAGTTTAATGTTGGAAATTCGTTAAAAGGTCGTGTCAATAAAGTGTTAAAGATGTGTAAGACTTGCATGTTTTTGTGTTTGGTCGGCTCTGAGTCTCCTGCACAATAATGCTTTATGTGAAATAGTTTTTGAAGTAACAGGAATAAAATCATTGACTTAATTGTCTTGTCATCCACAGAGACAATGGCCCCGAGGGCATGGAGCCAGATGGCATCATCGAGGTGAGTTCCACTGTTATCATCAGGGTCGTAAAACATCACATTCGCGACCTTTTAACATCTGAAAATTGGATTTATCGTAGTATAAAATGTGTTGAAGTAACCCAGACGATCAGGAAGCTGATGTACAAAGTCAAAAGAATCCTGTCACTAATTTCCGTTTTAATTGTCTGAATTTGTTTCCTTTCAGAGTAACTGGAACGAGATCGTTGACAGTTTTGATGAGATGAGCCTGCGCGAGACCCTTCTCAGGGGAATTTATGCCTATGGTTTTGAGAAGCCCTCCGCCATCCAGCAGAGAGCCATTATCCCTTGTATCAAGGGTGAGTACCATGTTCTTTAAACGAATAGACATTTTCAGTATTTCATATGCAAAGAACAGTTATGTGAGGTATGTAATTTATAAACTGCTGTTGTTTTCTTCTTCAAATGTCTTATTGAGATTTTGCACTTACAAATACTAATTCCTCTAAACACATAAAACGTCAGTGTGACTGAGAGGGGGGAAAAAGAGCGGTGACTTTTAAGCGTAGAGTAAGAGAATTCTAAGCATGTTACAAATGTCCATTATTTGAGACTTGTGCACTCCAGGGTTCCCTCTCCTCCCAGCTGGTGTGTTGGTGAAGGACTGAATGTTCCTTGGTAGAGAAGCTGTCTGCCCTCCACTGTGTCCAGGTCCCAAGTCCTGGAATCACAACTAATTGGCAGATTACACTAAATCTTTTAAAACAATAGTCACATTTCATTAATAATTAACATTTATGGAGGAGACTTTTGTTTAGTGGTGCCTCATCCCCACTCTCCAAATGTGTGTAAAAAATCTAATGAAAAGGTCAGGTGCCCAGAACCACCACATTCTGTAGGTTGACCACATTTTAAGAAGACTTACTTTATTGATCCACGCAAGGGGAAATTCTGTTTTTACAGTCTGTTAATTATGCAACACACAGGCTGAAATATACACGTGCACAAACAGGATCCTGTGGACATGCAATAATGGAAAGATGTCATTTTGTTTTGCATCATCCCATACGTGACACACATCGCACTACTTTGATTGACCATCACTCTGTCCACCATCCGCTTGACCCCGCCCCACCCGCCCCCCTTTTTAATTTTCTAAGTCCAGTTTTTTTTAAATGTCCCATTCTGTGTGCGTCTGCGTTGGTTGCTGCGCAGCTCCTGTCCTGCATGCAATTACAAAACTATACCGCATCAGACTGTCATCCAGCCGCTTCCTGTTGTTATGTCGAGGCTCCCCGGGGGCTCATGGTAGAAAGCTTTGCTGAGCAGCCCTGCATAGACTGATGGTGGGCTTTTTATCTTGTGCAATTATTGATGCTTTCTATCAAATTCTCCTTACCAGTCTCGATTGTGGCAAATAAACTATGTTAACGGCGTTCACCGCTGTCAGTGAGGGTAGCAGGAGAAGATGGCGATAGATGCTAAACGCTGATTCAATGTTTGGTCATAAAGAACTGAAGAGCTTGTAAATGGCCATAATAAAATGATCCGTAATGGCTCTCGCCTTTCCTTAAGAATCAGATAAATGGTCTGCAGTGTGGGACAACAGTCAAATATTAATCTGATAATAGTGTTTGAATTGAACAAGCAAATCTAAACCACTTAAACTAAACTGAAAGCTGATTTAGGATCAAAGTAGGAAGATAACCTGCAGCCAGCTCATTATCATCACTACGTTATAATACACATCCGTCTACATTACAGGAAGCAACATTTTAATGTGGATCTACTTTATAATTTGTAAAATCTAACAAAGTTTAAGTAAAGCAGAGTTGCTAACCAAAGTCATTTAATCCATGGACAAAAATTACAGCACTTGATGTTGTCAATCAAGTGTCAGAAATAGATTTTAGTTTTATTACATTTATGTCAAATTAAACAGAGCCATGCTGGAAACAGTTCTTCACACATTGTACTCTTTTAGAGTGATGATATAAATCTTGAATCTGTGAATGCATCCTAGAATCTTAAATTTTTAATTCAGGTGCAAGTATTCACTTACTTTCTACAACTGATAATAAATGACTGTTAGTGTAAGACTAGCAGACAATGGTGACATCAAGTAAAATCCTCCTGGGTATATCGCCATAATGATGCTGAACTACAAAGCAGTTTAGACTAAACGATGGTTCAGTTTGGGATTAACAGTAAAATGGTGCTTACAGCTAGTTTCATTTTCACGTTTGTGCCGTCCTGCAGGTTACGATGTGATCGCTCAGGCCCAGTCCGGTACTGGGAAGACTGCCACCTTTGCCATCTCCATCCTCCAGCAGGTCGATGTGGAGCTGAAAGACACCCAGGCTCTGGTCCTGGCTCCCACCAGGGAGCTGGCTCAGCAGGTACACCTCCTCTCAAACACTTTTTACCAATGATTAATCGCACCTGTTACATCATTCGACTTGCAGCTTTGAAACTTAGTTATGAAAGTCTATGGGGCAGAAACTGACGAGCAGCTGAACGACATCAGTGTTTATGTTTTTGGGAGGCTGAAGGGAACAAATCTGATCATATTGAATCCCTCACACAGCATTGAAAGGTCTACTGATTGTTTTAATAACTATAATTAACTTAAAGCCAGCTGCTATGATCTATAACAGTCAAAGCTGTCACATGACCACAAGACAAATCAAAGGTTCTTCTTCTGCATTTATGGAGAAACCTGGAGATGCTCCTCATACCCACCTTTCCTGTTCACTTATTATCCAAACGTTTACACTAAAGGATCAGAAGAACGTGCTGTTAATGATGAAACTCATGCGTGTCAACTGACTCTGTGAACACCGGCTGTGTTGACACTCTGGTCGGCGTTCTGTTGGCTGGAGTTGTCGGCACAGCAGGGGTCCAGAGACGTGATCATAACTCGTTCTGAATACAGCACAAATCACACTTCTGATGATCTCACTGACTGTTACAGTTAATGCAAGTCCACTAGGGTGCGCTGCTGATTAGAAAAATTCTGTCCACATGGCACTGAGCTCCCAGTGCTCGCCTTCATGTCTCAATCACGATTTGTCTTGCCCTGTGGTTAACACAGCCATGTGTAATCATGCGCTCTGGGTGACTCCCCAGGTGATAAATGTATACAGCCAGATTTGTAATGTGATCTGAATCCATGACGACACCTGTTAAGCTCAAGAGCCTGAAGATGAACAAAAAAATAATAATCTAGCTTTGGGCAAACCCATGCCACAACCTGAGGCACGGTTTAAAACATTGCTGGGCAGCATATCACTGCATCAACCTCTAAACTTTTGACCGTTTGAACTCTTGAGAAACAGGTTTACCTGTGCAGAAGACAGGAAGTTAAGAACACAGTCAGGTGTTTATTCTTTACTGGGGTTGAGTGAAAACAGGTTTTACATCTGGGAGGTAAAATGTTTTGGTACGGTGATACAGGCTGTAATGGCATCACATCATATAAACACTCAAGTTATTTTGCCAAATATGATATTCTTTGTATTTCTGGCTCCTATGGACTGGTAAGTGTACCAACATCCTCCTCAATCTGTCTGATCAGAGCTGCGATGGCAATGCCGTCATTAATCTCAACATCCAGATGATGTAAACGGAGCAGTTACTGTCACACAGCAGCCGTTATCATAGAAAAAAAACAGTTGTTCAGCCATCAGTTTTATACCTACAAAATTGGCAGATGTGCAGAGGCCCCCCTAAGTCTTGATCTTCTCTGTTTTTGAACGCTCTGAGATCATCGTAAAGCCTTTTTTAGATGTTATCCTTGTTGGGGTTCAAGGAGTATCAACTTGTGTATTTCTGCAGATCCAGAAGGTGGTGCTGGCCCTGGGCGACTACATGGGAGCCATTTGCTACGCCTGCATCGGAGGGACCAATATCCGCAGCGAGTCCCAAAAGCTAATGGCCGAGCCTCCTCACATCGTGGTGGGAACCCCCGGCCGCGTGTTCGACATGTTGAACCGTGGACACATCTGTAAGTTATTGTAAAAGTAAACCATCATAGTAGCCCTCGAGTGTAGTTCACCACCAGAGAGAACGTGCTGTTAATGATGAAACTCATGCGTGTCAACTGACTCTGTGAACGCCGGCTGTGTTGGCGCTCTTGTCGGCGTTCTGTTGGCTCGAGTTGTCGGCACAGCGGGGGTCCAGAGACGTGATCATAACTTGTTCTGAATACAGCAGCCATCAAGGTTTTGAAATGGAGACTTAGAACTAGCAGTGACGATGAAGTCAGACTTGCAGAAAATGCAAGTAATGAATAAATGTTTTGTTTTCTGCCATGACACAGTGACTTGGTGCACATCAATTATCCTGAGCTCTTCAGATAGTTTCTACTGCGACATCACACCTGAACTATTTAAAGCTTTCCATCATTCGTAACCATTTCACGTTTCTCTTGCAGCCTCGAAGTACATCAAGATGTTTGTGCTGGATGAGGCCGACGAGATGCTCAGTCGAGGGTTCAAGGAGCAGATCTACGACATCTTCAGGAAACTGGTCAGCTCCGCACAGGTAAGACGTGCACACCTGTACTCTGCTTCTTGGTCTTTTTTTTTTTTTTTTTTAAACCATGTTCCTCCATTATAGAAAAGCAGCTTCTGATTTTGTGGTTTGATATCTGTAAGAGCGAGCTTTGCTTCAGGACCTACAAATAAAACACTGAAGGATTAAAATATCAAATGTCAAGAACTACATGTCAAGGTTTTAACAGCCCTTAACCTGTCTGTTCCTACAGGTGGTCCTCCTGTCGGCCACCATGCCAGCTGACGTGTTGGAGGTCACAAAGAAGTTCATGCGTGAACCGGTGAGGATCCTTGTGAAGAAGGAGGAGCTGACCCTGGAGGGTATTCGTCAGTTCTACATCAACGTGGAGAAAGAGGTAACGGAGTTCCGCCCTGTCCCGTCTGTGTTTGAAGCACATGGACGTCATTAGATTATTTGTGATTTTGAGACAGAGTGCGGTCCAGGGTTCCCTCTCCTCCCAGCTGGTGTGTTGGTGAAGGACTGAATGTTCCTTGGTAGAGAAGCTGTCTGCCCTCCACTGTGTCTGGGTCCCATGTCCTGGAAGCACAACTAATTGGCAGATTACACTAAATCTTTTTATACAATAGTGACATTTTGGAGGGGACTTAATGATGAATGGGCTGAATTTTGTAACATAACATCTGTTTAAAATAACTTGCTGTTCAGTCCCTGGATTCAAAAGTGACCCCTCTATGACCTGACTAAACTCATTGAGATCCAACTACACGCACTTGTACATCTGAAGTGATTCAGAGTGACGCCTCTTTGTGACTGATTATTTACAGTTAAACAAAGACTCACAGGAAACTGACTAACATGCACTCAAGACCATGTCATAAGTTTAATTTGCAGATGTGGTTTTGACCTGAAAACAAGGTCACCTCTTGATTTACCTTGTATGACTAAACAAATGCTACACAGAAAGGGATGTTGTTGCTAGATGTTATCGGCGACAGCCGAATGTGGCATGTCACATGTCTGACCTGTTTCCTTTGTTTCTTAGGAGTGGAAGCTGGACACGCTGTGTGACTTGTACGAGACACTGACCATCACACAGGCCGTCATCTTCATCAACACGAGAAGGAAAGTGGACTGGCTCACCGAGAAGATGCACGCCAGAGACTTCACCGTCTCTGCTCTGGTAAGAAACTCTTAAGACCATGAGCCCTCTTGCTGTCATCGCTGTGATGTAGGACGATCCTCATGAAGTGAACGGACACAGAGACCTACCTGGAGCCTCTGTATGACGTGTTTATTTTCTGTGTGTAAAGTTTGACTCTTGTGTTTCAGCACGGTGACATGGACCAGAAAGAGAGAGACTTGATCATGAGGGAGTTCCGTTCCGGCTCCAGTCGAGTCCTCATCACCACTGACCTGCTGGTACGATCACGAGCTCTATTTTTATTCCGTTTGTTAGACAATAAGGTCATCATCAGTCCAGGGTTCCCTCTCCTCCCAGCTGGTGTGTTGGTGAAGGACTGAATGTTCCTTGGTAGAGAAGCTGTCTGCCCTCCACTGTGTCCAGGTCCCACATCCTGGAATAACAACTAATTGGCAGATTACACTAAATCTTATCACATTTTTAATAATGATGGGACTTCTTAAATTGGAGTTTTGTAAAGCAAAGTGTGAAAACTTCATGAATGCTCTATATTTAGACTGTATGGAGCCCCTGAAGGGTCATGGATGGAGAGATAACAGTAAAGGATCACAAGACCCTGGAGTTTTGTGACTCTAACCTACTTTAAGACCGGCTCACTGTTTTAAAGTGTAAAAGTAACTTACTTTGAGGGGGAATTTAGCTGCTGGAAAAATTTAGTTTGGACCTTCTGACAAGATTTTACTTTCTTTTTTTTTTTTTTGGGCAAGAAAATCAGGATTTTTTTCAAGGTTTCTTTGCATGTTTAATAGTTTTGTTTGTTAATTTTGAGCGAGGTGTTTTCGGATCTGACTTATGATTTGTTTATTGTGATATTGCTTGACCTTCTAAGTTTCTCAGGATCACTTGTTTTACTCCCGTGTCCATTCAGTTTTTTTTATTTATTTTTTTTAAAATGCAGCCTGACTGTTTGCTCTGACTCACTGACAGACTGATCTTTGGCTCCACATGTTGCTATTCTGTACGATCGATGTGTGAAACTAATCGCCATTACGTTCCTCTTCAGGCCAGAGGTATTGATGTCCAGCAGGTGTCCCTGGTCATCAACTATGACCTGCCGACCAACAGAGAAAACTACATCCACAGGTAAGTTTCAATATGTGTGAAACAGAAGTGACTTTGCGTTCTTGAGCAGTTAAATCACATCAGTTATCTGGACAACTCGCGGGCTGTCTGTGCTTCAAAACCTTCAGTGTAGGCTCAGAGCTCAAGTAGCGTACTGTAGCTAGTAGGAGCGCAAACTCCACAGAGCAAAAACAGACGGAACTAAAAGAGCTGCACAGAAACTGCAAGTTGTGGACTTTGTTGAAAAGCAGGAAGACAATTTAATCCGTTTCTTTTTGGGGAAACCCCCAAAACAGACTGTCTTGTACCAGTGAGACTTGTATTCTGGATTTTATGGTATAGGTTTTTACTAGCTGTTAAAGACAGTAGTCTTTAAATAAAATGGACTGATTTAAATGTATAAACCAGCAGCTGAGAAAACTACTTGGAGTACCAAGAAAAATGTACAGTTCAAGAAAATGTGATGATGCACCACAGACTAACTAATGGCACTGGCGGCACATCAGGAGGTCCTTTTTGAATATAAGATTAAATCTTTGTTTTTGTCAGTGGAGTCTGGTGTCTCTGCAGAGCTCGACAAGAGTAGAACTAAACTCTCAGGAGTTTTCTGACCCGAACACTAGAGCCTCCAGACAACATGCTGGATGAAACTGATCGTTTCTCTCCTCTCAGGATTGGTCGAGGTGGCCGTTTCGGCAGAAAGGGAGTTGCCATCAACATGGTGACAGAGGACGACAAGCGAACCCTGAGGGACATCGAGACCTTCTACAACACCACGGTGGAGGAGATGCCCATGAATGTGGCTGACCTCATCTAGAAGAACCCTCACACGCCCTCTGTCCTCCCCACCCCGCTTATTTTAGAAGTCAAACCTTGTTTCTTATAAGATCTGATTCCAAGAACTTCTTTTGCTAAATTCAGCCTCGACTTTTACCCCCTCCATCATAAAGGAAAGGGAGAACGCAGCCACCTCTCCTTCCTTTCCTTTCAAATAGATTCAGCCATGTTGGAAGGATGAATTACTGACCTGCTTTGTGTGCTTTCTTTCCTTAGTCCAATCCAAGACTCACCCTGCGGCTCTCCTCTCAAATTCCAATTTGAACATTTCCACCCGCGGACTTTTAGCAGAAAGTTTGTAACAAGAATGCAAAACGACCGCATTTCCAAAAAGCACATTTAAAAAACAAAAAAAAAACAAGGTTCATGATCAATTAAAGGATTTTAGCTGAACATCAAATAACAAACTCTGCTCGGTTGTGTTAACGTTGTGCATGTTTTCAGAGAAACTCCTGTGAAATGTGGCTGTGATTTGTAGCTGCTGGATGAGAGGTTTAGACTGCAGCTCAGTTTGGACTGGAAAATTAATCCAACAAGAAGCGCTGCATTTGACCTGATCAGTATTTAAACAACCTTCAGTGTACTTTAAAAAAACAAACAGCCTTGAAAATTATGACTATGTTGCAAAGAGCAGTTTTTGGGGGCGAGAGTACACAGGGCATACTCAATAAAAAGACCTGTATAGTAAAAATCCATCATCAATGAGTTGTTTACCATTTTACTGCTGTTTCATATTATATATATTTTTTATCGCTATTGTACATACTGCTTGACTCGTGCAGTAGCATTCAGATGAAGACCGACCGCTGGCCGAGGACGTTTGGAGGCAAAACGACGGTGAGTTGGGGGAAACTTTGCCTCTGGACCCTGATGACCTGGTTGGATTTTCACCTCTAACTTTTTGTTTTTGTTTTCTTGGGTTTTTTTTTTTTTTTTTCCCTCCACAATATCTTGATTTTGATGAGGTGTCGGTGACTTTTTGTAACCTACCTCCCCAAAATGTCGGGGAGGGGGGGTGGCTATCTACACGAAAGGACCAAACTATAGATTAAAGTATATAGAGACCCTCCCTACCCGTCCCCCTCTCTTAAAGCTCATTAAAATGCCTGTCATCATGGGGTGTCTGGTGTAGGAGAACTGTCATGTTTTGGGGTGTATAGTCAGTGCTATTTTTTAAAATGAATTGACGGACTTGTTAACCTTTTTGAGACAGAAACAGTGTATCAAGTTTTCTACATTGGATTCTGTATAGTATTTATTTTAATGGTCTTTAAAGAAATAAAGGTTTCTCCTTTTAACAGTGTAAACTGGACTCTGAATTGTTGAATAGCATGAAAACTCTAAATGGCCGAATCCTGCGTGGAAAGGCTCTTCTAATGTTTGTTTATGTACTAAATATAGGTTCTATTAGTTTTCAAGTATTTTCATGATACACTGCAGTTTGGGCCATGAAGTTTTTCCTCTAAACTTAATTTTTTCTTCCCTCCATTGTTTGAGTAAATATTAGTTATAAACCATCCTGAAAGCTGCTCTTCCTGCTTCAAAGACACTTCATAATGCAGCCTATTATACTGGTTGATGTTTTCCGTAATAAACTACAGTTGTGTATCAGTGTCATGTTCATTCAGTCACACATGCGCCTCTTTTTTTAATTATTTTTTTTAAATCCCACCTGCTCAAAGAGCTCAAACGTGACCGCACACTTTCGTCGGTTCGGTTTCCGGAAGTGGATTTCACAAATTACATAATCCATCGACATTTTACCAAATCCTACTATCAAGAGAATGAAGCCTGGAACCGAGACAAACAAGTTAGCCCAACACTCGAGACTAAAAAACAACAGTTTGTATATATATTTGTTTGTTCTGTGTGACGCTATTAATTACATTCACTTCGGTACAACGAGATTACCAGTAAATTCCGTGAAACGTTGCCATGGTAACGGCGAGCTCCACCAATCAGAGACGTCGCTCTGGCATGGTTAATGTAGTTCTTTATAATATGATATTCACAAATAGGTGTATTATAATAGGCCTTCTTTGCTGTCTCCGGCTCTAGCCGTGCTTCAAGTCCCGCAGTTAGTGCTGTGATTGGCTACTCACTCTGAGCTTCTCAAGCCCCTCCTTACTACGTTGTGATTGGCTACTCGTGCTCTCCAAGAGTAGTTGTGATTGGATGATTGTAAGCGCGGCAGATATCAGCTGAGTATCTTTTCTGCCATATGTTTCTACCCAGCGTAGCGACATTTTGACCTCTATTCGTGTTATATACATTTACATACATTTACATTATATATACATTCTCAATAAAACAACTAATAGTTCTTAATAAAAATTTACTGATGATTTAAAACCAGACAGGTACAGAATATATACAAAGAGTCCCATTGAAATTGAACATGAAAAGTTTTGTATCAGCGCCATGTAATCACAGAGAGTGTTGTGACAGCAAAAGGCCAACACCTGTGGAGTTTCTCAGGGACGGGGATAGCCGGTATTTTGTCTAATTTTTAAATGCTGTTAAATTGGCTTGGTGACGTCTTTTAGCCCAGAAATATAAATATAAACGTATCAGTTCTCCGAGGAGGATAAATATGGTTTAAGATCAATGACGCTGACCGTCCACTAGAGGGAGACATTGTTCTTTTTACTGCGGCGGGATAGTTCAGCACTGACGGCATGATTGTCAGAGAGATACGTGACAGACAATCATTTCTCCACCATGCAAGTATTTAAAAACCAACCATATGTTGTTTTGATTAAAGTTAGCGTCATAAATTACAAAAGAAAGCGAGAGAGCACTGTGTAAATTGCACAAACTTGTTGGAAACGTTTCACTTAATTGTGCTGTATGCAGGAGTTTCTCTGCAGCTTTTGATATTTAAAAACAAGAAATGATCGATGATTAGTGCCTCGGACTTCTACTTTTGTAACAGCTTTTGAGATCGTAAGAGTTTATTTGGATTGTATTGGATTTTAAAGAATATAGAGTCATGGCAACACAAAGCCAAACACTGTTGAATTCACCTGCTGCTGTAGTCCAGATGAAACCCTGAGTTGCTCCTGATTGGATGTTTATTTGTTGGTTCTTTCACATGTGCACAAAACTTTTTGAAAACTTCCTGAAATTTTCATGCTGGCCTTCTTGTAACTTTTCCACATGAAGTCAGGATAAGCTGATGTGAGGTGGCAGCAGGAGATATTCAGGAAAACTCTACAAGTATTGGGTGGTGACATTTATTCCCTGTGATCGCTGCACGACCATAGACTGTCTGCACGCCACCTCTACCATCTCCGTGCTCTAATGAACCTGCTGCATTATGTTTCCTGTTCTCCAGTATGTTCTTCTCCACTCTTTAGTTCATATTGAGATTGTGGATGTTGTCATTCCATTGGATTACACATAACATTGATATAAAGGCAAATATTCTCATTATAATGTCGTGTAGCGGACTCTGTCCGCGTTGTTCATTTACGTCACGTCTTATGTCTGGAAATCCCCCGCCCCCCTCCCCTCTGACAGGGAAAGTCCACCGCTGTGAGGAGCATATGTGAACGGCTAGGTCCGTTACTTTTTACTGGATGTTTTATATTTGAGATCGTTTATTTCCCGATCAGACACGGAGCAAGGAGGATGTTGGTACAAGACACGATCCGTAGGAGGCTAAACTGTGGAGAATATCAAACATTTGGAGCGCTGGTGATGTCAACAGCACCTTTCTAAAAGTTGAAAGATTTTCAACTTGAGCGCTTGGAATAAAGGCGCTGGGTGCTGTGCTCTTCTCCAGGCCGCCACCTGCTGCTGCTAACGCTCTCTACTCATTGAAAACAATTTAAAAAAGATGCTCAGAAAAAAAGACACTTGGTGGACACGGGGCCCACGCTGCCAATAAACACTAAACGTAGTGTACAGCTTGATCTTTACTGTTGATGCACGGAGCAGCCATGATGGATTTAGAGTTCGGTCACAGAAGCTGCTCCGAGTTTCAAGTCGGAGTTACGAAGTCCTGAAGATGTATCTGACTGGAATGTCACATTTCCGACTTCTGAGAACAAATGGAACGACCCAAAGGTGTCTCGCTGTGAGGTGCGTGTGTGAACAAGTGCGTGTGGAAACGGCTTTAGAGAGTGTTCAAGAGTTTACCTTCAGCTTTTGATTATTAAAAAGAAGAAATGACCCAATATGGAGCTCAGGACTTCTAGTTCTGTTTCTGTAGAATAGAAAAGGGACCGATATCATTTTACTCTTTACTAGAATCGTATCGAATTTTAGTTATTTTTATCATGACAAACCACACACAAACACACACACACAGGTTAACTGTCCCTGCGTGACGTCCCTGCCGACTGAAAACAAGTGACGTCTCAGCTTTTTGTCCCTCTCTCAGCCTAGGTGGCCCGTCTCCTTCTAAAGGCACTTTCCCTCTCTGTGGCCAAGATGCCCCCTTGCCCATCCCCCATACACACACTCATGCCCCCCCCCCTCACTGCACCCCCTGATGGGTGCTGGATTGTGGGATTGAGAGATGGTGGGGTTGTGGGGGGGGGGGATTATGCGAGTGTGGGGCTCGTAAAGGGCCTGCCATGCTCTTTCTGTTGTGTGACGGATGGCTGGGAGGCTGAACGGGCTGCTTTGCATGAGAAGAGAAGGCAGCAGAGGGAGAAAAGAGGGCTATTCAATGAGGCCTGTCACCTAAAACCACCCCCCTGCCCCCCCCTCCTCACAGCCCACCCTTCATCATCCATCCCTTCATCCTCTCGTCCCTCCTCCTCCCTTGTTCTGCCTCTCCATCTCGCTCTCCCTTTCTTCCTTCGTTTTGTGGCTTTCATTCGTCCGTCTTCACTGCTTCTTTCTCACCCTATAATCTACCCCCCACTCCCGACCCCCCCCCACCTCGCTGCCCTTCTTACTCCTTGATTTCATCCCACTTAATTTCTGTTCATTCACATTTTCCCTCCTTTCCATCACGCTGTTTTTACCTCGCTGAGTTCCATAACATTCAGATCCTCTCATTACTTTGTGCTTATTGTGAGCGAGCAGCTATAATGGAAATGTCATTGTCAGGCCTCTTTAACGCCAAAAGAACTCATGTGACTTGATGCTCTGACATGCTGACTGAGTCCACTTTTGAGTCAGCAGGAGATATTACGGCATAATTAGGTTAAAGCGGCTTTCCACCATTTTTAACCACTCGGGACAGAAACATAAACAAAACGAATCCCATGAATACAAGTGTTCGTAAAACTGCAACAACCTGTAACTTCTCCTCCTTCAGTCGCTTCAAAGTCGATCTAATCGAACAATAACGTCAGGGAGAATGGCGTCTCTCTCATGTCCACAGAGCGCCCACGTCTTTACGGCGCCAGTTCACACAACAGCCTTCAGCTACAAAGCAGCCAGTTAACCCGTCTCTATACTGTTTGATACGACGGCTGAGAGGAAGAGGACGGAGACGGGTGAAGCTAAGAAGAGAGAGAGCATGAGCGAGCGAGAGGTCGAGTGAGAGCAGGTATTGGTCGTATTTTTACACGTTAGAGCTGCAAGGCTGACGCCCAGCTGGTTAATTTTACTAAGGACCCGATCACACAGACCTTGTTTTCCTCTGGTACAGGGCGCTTGCCGGACGCTCTCTCTGCTGCTAAGCAAAGCATTTTTCTTGCGTTTAGTGGGCATGCATAAAAGTTAAAACGTGTTCAATTTTTCAGTTCAAGACGCCGAGTCACAACGCTCATCACTATTGGCCGTGGCAGTCGATTGCATCAAGTAGGAGGCTTTACCTCCACTTTTCACGACATACCCCCTCCTCTTCTACGAGCAAAGCAACAGCAGGAGCTCTACGTTTGCTTAAACACATTTTTTCCAACTTATTTTATTTAGTCAAGTATGCGCCCGGAGCCCCGCTCCAGATAGCTGTTTTTTTCACCCAGATGAGCTCAGGCATTTTTGGAGCGGCCACGCCTAGCGCAGTGTGTTTCTGTGTGACCACCGTGCATTTACACTCAGAGCCCTTAGGTGGGCGACAAACGCACCAAATCAAATTCCTCATTTATGTTGCATATTATTAATGTTTTAAACACATTGACATCTCCTAGCACCATGGAGTCATGTTTGTGTCCGCTTTTTGAATGGAAGTTTAAAAGTACTCTGTTACCTCTGATTTGGTCTCCACCACCCTCCCTTGAAATATATTGGAGTTTTCACACTTTCACAAAACGCCTAAAAACACCAGTCGCAGGATATGACCTTCACCAACCCCTCCCGCTCTCTCATGGTGGTTTTTATTCTAAATCTGTCTTGTGTTCTCACATCAGCTCACCGCAACTTCTCGTGAACATTTATGGAGGGACTGGCAGGAGAAAAGTGGTAAAAATGAAAAGAAGAACAAAACGACCAGCTCGCTGCGGTCTAAGTTATCAGAGTGACGTTTGAGTGATGTTTAATGGAAGGCCGAGGGATTATAAATTACATAAGTCTAAGGTTTCTTAACTCGTCCACATCCCCTCAGTCTCAGCCTTCTCTCAACATTAACCCCTCCCTGACCACAGCTGAGTGAAGACTCTGTTTCCGTGGTGATGATGTTTTTTTTTTTTATGGTCCTCTCAGACCTCCTGCTGTAAACGTCTTTAACGGCTGAGCGCTCCTCCCTCTGCAGGACCAGGTGCGGCTCGTCTGCTCTGTGCAGGCCGTGCCTACATGTCCCAGGATGCACTGCAGCCCCACTGCTGCATTTCTTCAGCTAAATGCTCTGGGATATGTAAATACAGCTGAAAACACTCCTCATCCAGATAACCCTCTGCTCTGGTGTTTTTATGCCATTTTTTCTGTTTGTAGTTCTGTAGCCTGAAGGCCGGACTAGTCTGTAGATTTTCTGGGACAACAACGAGGAACTCAGAAAACACAGGAAACAACTTAAAGAGTTTTTCTAACTTTATACCACACTCCGATAGACCGACAAAAGGTTACAAACCTGTAAATTAACCCTTTCATGAAACCCGGGGGAGAGAGGGAGAGGTCTCCTGACTTTTAAAAGAAAACTTTCCACTCGTGATGACAGAAAGAAAGAAGGAACCGGCTGCCATGTTGGCTTCTTCTGTGTCTGATGTGACACACAAACGTAACGTCAGAGTGTGTGAGGAGACGCAGGAGTTGAAAACCTCCTCCAACATCCCGACTCGAGACACGGAGCTGACGGACGGACGAAGAAAAGGAAGGAGAGAGGTGGGGAGAGAGAGAGAGAGAGAGAGGGAGATGTTTTTGAAAGAGGGAAAGAGAGAGGAGGGTGGATGGGATTCCTCACTGGGTTGTCATGGAGATGGAAACGGGAGACTGGAGCTGCACAATTCACAATTAGTCACAAACACATGGTGTCACACACACACACACACACACACACACACACACACACACACACACACACACACACACACACACACACACACCTGTTTGCGGGAAACTCTCACACTGACTGACTCACACACAAGATGCATCTTTGTTTTTCAGGCCATAATATTACCCATGATGCAACTTGGGTGTTTAATTTAAAGATATGCTGGAAGGGTCGTCTTGATAACAGATTCTGAGAAAATTCAACGATTCTCATACCTGTTTGATACCATGGCAACATGAAAGAGAAGTCCCAGACTCCTGTTACTTGGTAATGTCTTGATATTAATAAACAAAAGTCGCACACAAACTCCTGCACACCGTCTAAATTGCACAAAAACATGCGCAACATTTTATATTTGTACAATTGAGACGACCTTCAGGAGTCGGTCTACAGTTACTGATCGCCTCCTTCCTTTCCTTCACACCTGTGTTATGAAATAGATGTAGTTTTTTACTTTTCAAACTTGTAGTCTTCAGATCTGTCTGCCTCTGACTCAGGTAACATCACTTGAGGAATCTATTTGGCTCCATGTGGAGACCTGATAGAGATGCAGCGTGTACATTAGCATCACTTGAGCATTAGCCTCGATGTTGGACGTAAACGTAGACACTGTGACATCATCACTCATCACTCTGTCCACTTCTCTTCGGAACCTGGAGGTCACACAGCCGAGGTAAGTAAAAAGAACGACGTGGAAGTAACGTACGAAGAAGGGGCCATCCTCCTTTACTGACTTGATACTAACTTGTAACTGGAACATGGTCAACTCCAGTGTGATGTCATTCCCAGCTCCGAATTCAGAGGTGAATGGAATGCACCATGGCAGTCAGGAGGAGGCAAGAGGTGACGAAAATGAAAGATGTAGAAGTGTCGTAAAAAGTAGCAGAGTCCCCTATACGACACTATAATGAGAATATGTGTCTTTCTATCAATGCTACATGTAGTTGAACAGAATGTCAATGTGAACTAAAGAGTGGAGAAGAACATACTGGAGAACAGGAAACATAATGCAGCAGGTTCATTAGAGCACGGAGATGGTAGAGGTGGCGTGCAGACAGTCTATGGTCGTGCAGCGATCACAGGGAATAAACGTCACCACCCCCTCCCACTCGCTCCAGGTGAATTCTCCTGATTATATCCTGCTGCGTTCTCACATCAGCTCACTCTGACTTTCTGCAGAATAAATACGAGGAGGCTGGAGGAGAAACTCCGGGTGAAGAGAGAAACATTCAGCTGTTTGTGTTCACACATGACGCTCAACACCAACACTTCAGGAGGTTTCTGAAGGTGTGAAAGCTCTTTTATTAGAATTTATTTTTTGCTCACACTGTTGGAATTTGCCTCCCACGACCTCTGAGTCTGTCTTTTACCTGAGATGATTGGCAGGTTTGTGTCTCACCTGGGTCTTGCAGTCACACAAATGAAATCAGTAAATTTGAGAGAGAGAGAGGATCAAAAAAGGTCGGTGATGGTGAGGAAGAGGACGGTGAGCTCACACACAACGTTTCTTCTCCCCCTCCTGGATGGGGGACAGGGGTCCAGGTCCGGTGCTCAGGTTCTGCTTGGGGGTTCTGACGGAGGGGTTGTCGGGGGAGCAGCTACCATCATGACTGTCCTCCCTCTGCAGACCCTGGATCGTCGTGGACTGGAGCAGGTTAAATATCGCCTCACAAATCAAGACATGTCAGTGATTTAGTGAGGAGTGGTCAATGCAGCCAATCAGGAGTTAGAGCCTCAAGATTAGTGATGAACCTCGATACTCCAAAGTACCAAAGACTTAAAGCTGAGGAGACACATGGATGTACAAAACAAAATGTGACGAGTTTACGTCCAATAATATCACAGCGTTCACCCGTCTCTCAGCTGTTTGCGGCGCTCAGATTCGTTATCTCTCCCGTGATAGCCTGTTTGTCTCGCTGTCTGCCTGCCTGCTTTTCAAAGTACGAATCGAATTCCTCTGCAGGTTATGCCCCGCCCACCTGTCACCCACCTGCAGCTTTATCTGCTCATCGTTTGAACACATGTAGATCAGATCTGTTTAGAATGAGTCACAGTGAGACACTGACCAGCGACAGGAAACCAAAACATACCTGAGCGAGAGATCATCAGGAGGTGAACAGCAGCTGCAAGCCGTGGATTTAAAGACTGAGCAGAGACTCCTGATGACAGACTGCAGAATGATTCCTCTGAGCCATGGAGACTACCTACTCTGAAGCAGGAGCTGAAAAGGTTCTTCTAAACCGGGTTCTAGGGACTAAAATGGTTCACAGTTCCTGCGGTGCAGAATCACTAAAAAGGGGGGTGGAGGTTTTTAATAGTTCCTGGGACTCTGAAAAAGTTCCTGTAGTCCTAAAACACAGATTGTTGATGTGGCGTGCTCATGACAGATGAAGCTCGTTTTGGAGTTTTCATGAGGATGAAGATGTTTTTTTTTCTCCAAAATTTATTTTCTGTACTTTTATTAGAGAGAAAGGACAGTGGACAGAAATCAAGAAGGGAGAGAGAGTGGGGAACGACCTCCAGGAAAGGAGCCACCGGTCGGATTCAAACCCACTGCGCCACCAGCGCTCCAGGATGAAGATGTGTTCGAGGACTGAGCGTGTGTGGATGGCAGGAAAACCTCTGTTTTTTTAAATACCCGCCTACGTGTAGACCAGGTCTCAGTGGGACCATCACTAGTGCTGTGTTGAAGAAGACTTCTACAGATTGAGATCTTAAAGGAGAATGATGAGGAAATCAATCAGCTGAGAAATCGGGACATTTTATCATAGACTTATTCTGACAACCAGAGCGATCGCCCCCTGCTGGTTATCTGAAAGACTGCAGGTCTAGGCACCTGCAAAATGTTAAACTTTTAATAACTTTGCGCTTTATTTTTTAAATCCTTAGTTTCCTTTACTTTTCTTTCGTATCTGAATATAAGGGTTTTAATATTCAGGAATTTAAGGACTTCCTGAAAAAAGAATCACACAGGATTCTTTAGCTCAAGTGTTTAATCTTGAGAGAATTTTCTCAAACAAATGAATAAATTAGAGTTTTCTTTAAATTTATTTTTTATTTTTTTTCTACTCCTGGATAGTTTGTCATATTTTAAATATGGCCCTGCAGAACACTGATTCAAAATGAATCGATTATTAAGATATTTGTTCGATTTGTTCTCTCTCTCTCTCTCTCTCTCCTTCCCTCCTCCATCAACAAGTGTCTCGCGCACCGTCGGAGTCTTTTCACTTGCTAATGCACGCGCACAGCCCGCAGCTCGGCGCGCTGTGATTGGCTGCGGCGGAGTGCACGCGGACAGCAGAAGTTTGTGAGAGAGAGGACCTGAGTTCAGAGTGAGTCTGAAGTCTGACAACAACAAGTGTGAGAAGGATCGCTCCGTGATGACTGCTGCTCACTCACTCTAACACACACACACACACACAAACACACAAACACACACACACACCGATCCCCAGGCTGCTCTGCGGGCGTGGCGCGTGCGTAATTAGCTGATTCGGATCACCCGGTTGAACCTGTAGGGGAACCTGGCTGCACGTCGCCAGGTGGACGGCGACAAAAAGGAGCTTCACCTGTTCTGAAACTTCACCTGACACCATGTACAGCATGATGGAGCACGAGCTCAAGCCCACCGGGCAGCCCCCCTCCCACCAGACCGCGCAGGGCCTGTCTCCGGTCACCGGGAACATCACCGGCATGGGAGGCAACGGCCACTCTCACCCGGGCTCCAAGACCGCGTGCGCACCCGGAGTGGACCCCATGGATAAGGTGAAGCGGCCCATGAACGCCTTCATGGTGTGGTCCCGGGGCCAGCGGCGCAAGATGGCGCAAGAAAACCCCAAAATGCACAACTCAGAGATCAGCAAGAGGCTCGGCGCGGAGTGGAAGCTGCTCACGGACGCGGAGAAACGGCCGTTCATCGACGAGGCCAAGCGGCTCCGCGCCGTGCACATGAAGGAGTACCCCGACTACAAGTACAAGCCGCGCCGCAAGACCAAGCCGCTCCTGAAGAAGGACGCGCAGGTGGGGAAGTACCCGCTGTCCGCCGGGAACCTGCTGGCGGCTGCGGCGGCGCAGGGGCAGGGGGGCAGCCCCAGGATGGAGAGCTACGGCTGGGGTCCCACTGGTGGATACGCTGGCATGCAGGGCGAGGCGCTGGGCTACACGCAGCAGCTGCACCGGTACGACCTGTCCGCCCTGCAGTACCCCCCCGCCATGACCGCAGCACAGTCCTACATGAACGGAGCCAACTCCTACAGGTGAGCGGAGACACAAAGTAGTCCCAAAGTGTTCAGCTCAGGACAGGACAGGTGTGTAGAGGGTTAGAGAACAAAGTAATTAAGTGCTCTGATTTTTTTCCTCAAAGAAATCTGTGACAACAGCTTCCTGATTCTAAAGTTGTAATTTATCTGTGTTTAAACTCCGACTCAGAGAGAGGACAAAGAGAGAGAACTTTAAAAGTTTCAAATGTCCTCAGTGAGAGTTAGTGAGGCTAAAGATGTCCTTAAATAAATCTGTCATCTTCCAAACTGTTGAACACTTTAATGGCTCGGGATTAAATTAAATATAGTTGATTAAAAAAAGTGACTTTAACAGCTGCCTGTAGTGAACATCAAGCTGACATCCCTCTGTGTGCAAACTTTTCATTTAGAGCTGCCATGTTTTAATTTGTATATTTAATAGTTTAGTCTCTGCTTCCACTGAGAGTCTTATTTATTAATAAAGTGAGAGGAGAGTTTGATCTGCAGCTTCTTCCTCAACCTGATTTTATTTCTCATAACTCAAAGTAGAAGTCATTAGATCCTGAACTGTTAATCACATCATGATGGAGGCTTTCCTAAAAACACACAAAGAGAGAGAGAGAGAGAGAGAGAGAGGGCAAGGTGGAGCTTCAAAAAGAACAAATCAGATTATTCAGTTTGCAGGGGTGTAAAAAAAAAAAAAAAACCTCCCTGATGTTATGTGATCGTTAATCTATTTTTTTATTTACAGGAACATTTGAAAACTTAATGTGTCGACTTTTTGAGGCGAAGTTTAACTCAGGAAGTCCAAATGTGTGAAATCTAACTGTGTGTGTGTTTTAAATGGATGAATAATCAAAGACCTCAAACTGGATTCAATAAACCGGCTTCTTGTCGGACTTTAGATAGAAGTCTCCGGAGAGTCTGTTATAATTTTGACTGTTCTCTCCCTGAAGTTTCAGACCTCCCTGCTCTGAAAACAGTCGACTTCATAACTCAGATTTCCTGCATGTGTATCTTTACTCTTTAAAGTTTCTCTGAAGTTTGCGGTCTTAAAAAGCTTCAACATATCGAACCGTAACGGCTGCATTGTCTGCTCGGAGTCGGTCCTGAATGAGTCTGAACTTTAAAATCTCAGTTTGATTTATTCTGCACAAGACATCCATGTTTTAAATCTTTTAAATGTTCAGATAAATCTGCTCTGACTGCGTCCAGAAGTTGTTTTGATTCTCTGCGTCATGATGTCGTCTTCACTCTTGACACTCGTCTGAAATAACGATTAAAAAGCTGCGATGCATGGCGACGTACTGAAGAGTTACCGCTGCATCGTCAGTGTTTCCTAAAGTCTCAAATCTTTAGATTCATATTTACATTTTAATGTAGATCAGTGATTCTCAGCCTTAGGACCCTCCTCCTCCATGAGATAGCCTAATTAGATATTTAATCAGAAATAGTTAAGTTTGGACCTGAGACAGAACAAGAGAAGGTCGTGTTTTAAAAGTGACCAAATGAAAACAGCTCTGCGTCCCACTTTCGGGTCCAGACCCACCAGTTGAGAACCACTTAGCTCCTGTTGCGTTTTTCCACCTGTTCGCTGTTAAACATCAGATTACAAAGACTCCTTTAATACTCTTCATCGTCTTTTTTCTTCTCTTCAAGTTTCTCAGTTTGTGTCTGACATGTTTCATTAATCGATATAAATTTTATTAACTTCATGAATGTTTTTAGTTTCTCCCTCAGCTCTCTGAATAAAACCTCCTCCTCCCCTCCCCCCCCCTCCTCCTCCTCTCCTCCCCTCTCTCTCCCTCCTCCTCATCTTGTCTCCTCTCTCTCTCTCCTCCCCTCCTTCCTCCCTCTCTCTCCCTCCTCCTCATCTCGTCTCCTCTCCTCTCTCTCTCTCCTCCTCTCCTCTCCCCCCCTCCCCCTCCTCCTCCTGCGTTCTCCTCCTGCTTGTTATGCGTGCCGTGTGGCGCTCCGCTCTGCTCGCTCCGGTCAGGAATGTTGATCAGAGCGACTCGATGGCAGCAGGATGGCTCTGTGTGTGGTCCCTTTACCCACAATCCTCTGCTCCTGCTAAACCATTGTCCCCTATAACACTTGTGGGTCTCGGCCTGCTGCCGCCAACCCCCCTCTCCCCCCTTTAACCCCCCCCCCCCTTCCATGAGGACTGTGATGAATGACGTGTAAATGGCGTCCTCTGCTGCAGATTGAAGTGATTGAGTTTCTGCGTGAAGTCGTTTCCCTCCATGACTCGTCTGTGAGTCATGTTACAGGACAGACGTGTTGCCACTCGTCCTCTCCCACGGTGACCGCACGCCAAACAACCTGAACTCATAAAGACGTGTTTAACCTTTTAGTCTCTTAGCGAGCAGAAATGAGCCTCAGAGAGCTTCACTTTAATGATTTTAAACGTCTTCACGACTCAAATCTCCACGCTGAAGCTGCGGACACCAGAAAAGAACTTGAACTCAAACATTTGATCATTAGAGGGGAAAGTGAGCGTACCTTTGAAACATTTAGTAAATAAAACCTAAAGTTTGACATCCTGTTTCTCAGTGGTGATCTTCAGTCGATGTTTTCTCCTCGATGAGACTCTTGAGAGTTTCTCTGCACGCCACAGTTACAGACCTAACAGGCTGACTGACCGCACAAGAAACAAGGATAAATAAAAGTCCTTCAGAACATTCAAGAAGTTCTCCTGTAATGTCGTTAACTGGAGGTTATAAATAAAATGAAGAACGGTTTAAATAAAAACACAAACAGTTGATCTGTGCTGCCGACTTGTTCAGTCCTCAACGATCCTGAAGGTGAAATGTTAGAACTCCTTCACACCCAAACCTGAGGAGGAGTTATTTGAGCACTTTAGATGTTTTTAATGTCCTTAAACTCAGAATGATTGAACTGATGCTCGATGGAGTGACACACGGCTGGGACTCTGCTGATCCTGGGTCTGATCCTGGATCTGTCTCATCATCGTGACTCGGCAGTTCATCTCGCTCGTTCATCTTTAAACCTTGAGCACGTTGAAAGATGTCAAATTCTCGTTTCTCAGAGAAAGTCGTGAATTCAGAGTGTCATTGGCCTAGTGGTTGATGAGCTCAGCCCATGTACGGAGGCTACAGTCCTCAAGTCGGACGGCCCGGGTTCAAATCTGACTTGTGGATCCTTTCTGTGTGCGTGCGCGTGTGCGCGTGTGTGTGTGTGCGTGCGTGTGTGTGTGTGTGTGTGTGTGTGGTAAATGACAGTACTGAACATTCCCGGGAGGATTCACACATTAGTTTTATGGTTTAGACTATTCCTGATTTTTAACTTTCTGTCGTACGAACACAGCGAGTACATTTTGACCCGGAGTCAGCAGACGAGCAGGAGATAATTATCGAGGTGGTGACCCCCGAAGGATTAATGTCATCAACAATCAGGTGTGACGTTTATAATCCAGAGGATGAATTTCAGAGTTTTTAAAAAGGCTCAGAGTTGATTCTCTGTGATAGACGAGGACGTTCACACCGAGTGTTGACTTGTAACAAAGTTTTAAGTTTGAGCGTTTACACCGGACGCTGAGCGCTGCACGATAAATCACGAGTTTATCGTTATCGCTGTAAACACATCGCACAAGTCTGAATTTATCGCAATAACATTGAATGATTATATAAGGCAAACAAGCCGCGCTCGCTCTGCCCGGTCTCTCCTCTCTCTATTTCGCTCTCTCTCTGCTCCTCTCTCTCTCCCCTCGCTCTGTTTTACAGATCCCTCAAACCCAGAACAATCTCTCTTCTGTCTCCTAGGTTTTGCTTCCTTGTGTTTAAAGTGTTGTGAATAAGAATTACAGATAATTTTAATAGAAGAAACTGTGTGAGCATGTCTACCCATCAGCTGTTTATCCTGATTGTGCAGAACAGGACTCAAAGTTTCCCAGAATGGAACTGAAGATAGACGTGTTAATTAATGATTCTTATCTTCTCTCCCTCTTCAGCCCGATGTCGTACAGCGGAAGCCCCCAGCAGAGCCCCGTTATGTCCATGGTGAAGGCAGAACCCGTGTCCCACTCACCTCCTACCGGGAACCCGAACCACCACCGGGGACCCCTGCAGGGGGACCTGAGGGACATGATTAGCATGTACATCCCCGGACCAGGGGGGGAGGCCGGGGACCCCTCTGCCGCACAGAGGGGCTACACCAGCGTGCAGCAGCATTACCTCACCGGGACCGTCCCACTCACGCACATCTGAGACTGAAACAGGAAGGGGCGGAGCCGGAGGAGCTCAAAATGCACAGCTGGATGGCAAGAGGCGGAGTCAGAAGATTGATTTAGGAGTCTCACAGAAACAGGTGTTCCTGCAACGTGACGATGAAAGTTTGATTTCTTTTAAAAGCTGTTATGGGTTCAAACTGCCTTCATGTACAGAGCTAAGGCTCCGCCCCCTCCGCCCTCCTGCAGACTTCTCTCCATGAAGGACAGCGCTGATGACACGTCTGTTTATTTTGTACATACAAGTCTTTTTTCCTTTTTTATATCTTTAGAGCTTATCCTTCATAAGTCCTTCCACACTCGTCCCTCTCATGATCCAGGCCGAGCCAGTCTGCGGTCTGAAGCCCGACCCGACAGTCTGGAGGACGGATCAGTCTCTGAGAGTGGGGAGGAAAAGCACAAGTCGAACGTTCTGTGCCTTGGCTTTGGTTGAGTCGTCTGCATGTTCGGTTGTACCTGCTGGATGAACACCTGTCAGACAATCAGCTGCATCCACAGGACGCCGACGGAGCGCGCGGCCCGTTTTCTTCTCTATTATTAGTTTTAGATTTCGACCTTTTGTTGTACATGATTTGCTCTGGCAGTCATGAGGTTTCTTTTTTTTAGGCTTTTAATATGAAATGTTACATTTCAGCTGAGTTTTAATCTCCACACCGCAGATTCAGAAAGTCTTCCTTCCAGTAAACGTTTCTGTGTTTGACTTCCTGTTTGTGTGTTGACCTGCAGGAAATGGGAATCTTTACACCTCCATCTTGTTTTAAATGTTTGTAATCACGTCCTTCTGTACTTTTTAATCCTGTGTGTCTCAGACTGACAGATCTGTTGTTAGTGCTGCTATGGACCTATACAAACCAGAATAATAAACCACTTTCAGACGGGCTGCCGAGAGGATTCTGTATTTTTAAACCTGGCTTATGGTTTTAGATATTTCTGTTACTCAAAGTTCAGTATATTTCAGAATCACTCCAACAGATTACTTCAGATTTCAGCAGCAGGTAAACAGTCTGCAGACGTTACAGTCTGTTTACCTGCTGCAGACGAGATATCTAAAACAAAGCCGAGGTTTGATGTCACCTGAGTTCCTCTTGACCTTTTTGAAGCATTTTTTTTCTACTAACCAAATGTGGAAACAGTCTTTATGAAAAAGGGAGTTTTGTTTTTTAATGAAAGTAATGTGTGAATGTTTACACGAAGAACTAAAACTTTTATACTGACTTTTGTATCTCTATTTTTAGAATGAATTGTGTGTAAATGCTGCCGTGTAGAGTTACTGTGTGTAGCATCATGTAAATAATGTACACATTTTTAAGGCTCTTATAATAAGAGTCTCTCTTTGATTAAAAAAAAAATCTTTGTTATGGGATTCATGACAACATTAATAAAAAGTACAAAGCCTTTTTTTTTCATGATTTATGTTTGGACACGTTTCATGGAACACTGACACATAATGCATTCAGGGACCACTTCATTAGCTACACTGTCCTGGACCCGTTCTCCCGCTGTGTTTATTGGGCGTTATGAACCAAACATACAAACAGTGGTGTTGATGCATTCATGTGGTGTCGGACACATTGGAAAAATGAGTGTCCAGGTTGTAAAATGCAAATGCACACCTGCTGAAGTTGGAACAACAACTCGGAAACTCAGGAAAGAATTGGGTGCCTGACTTCCTGACTTCATGTCAAAATCGTCATCACATGAGGGGCAAAAAATGTTTTGTTAATGTTAACATACTTTTTATTAATTCACATTTTGCACATTTTTTATCAAATGTAACAGTTACATTTCACACATCTTTGTAGCATCAACGCTGTTTTGTGCTGTTAAATCATTCAGACTTTCCGAACTTAAAGGGATACTTCACCTGTTGAAACATGAATCTGTATTGACATTGGGTCATACATGTAGTAGAAATGTGAAATACATTTTGAAGTTGGTGCCTTCTTGGCCGAGAAAAGGCAGAAAGTTTATTTTGGCTCGTGGATGAAGGACACCAGATGACTCCCAGAATGCACAGCACTGCAGGCCACTCCCACTAAGGTCCTCTATTTACAGACATTTACTACAACATATACGCCCGTTTCTTCAACTGATTTTGAGATTTCTTCCAGAACTTAATTGGCATCTTGGAAATTCCTGGCAGAAAAAAGACTCTATGTCTGTGTTCATAGGCAAACAGGCAAACAGGCTCCTCGTCCTCACCACAGCCGACAGTCTTCTGCCTCGGCGCTACATTGCGGCTCGTAGAGATAGCCACTAACATCTGATTCGAGCACAAGACCTTCAAAATCCCCTTCATCCATATCAGTTTGAAGTTGAAACATACTTTTTCCCCTATTGTCGGTTCTTCTCAGCTTTTTCCATAGAGCCTGTTAGTATAGCTTCCAAGCAATATGGCGTACATTAAGTTTAGTTTCTGGGAGTGAGTTCCCACCCACTGATCTGTGATTGGTCTGTAGCTTCAGTGGTCGAAAACATGAGGAAATAGCGTTGTAGTTTCACCCCCACTAACCACAACAGCCAACGATGACGCAAACTGACAATTTTTGCATCATCGGAGACTCCTTCTCAGACTTAAAAATACAAAGCTTTCCCATCTCAGGGGAAAATGAGGGCTGGATGCACGACCATTCAAAAATACTACCAGGTTTCTAATGATACAAAGCTTAATGCAAATGGGTGAAATATCCCTTTAAGTTACATGAACACACTGAAGTTGGAAGAACGACTTCACAACCTGGAAACTTGGACAATCCGAGGAGCACCTGAATGCAGCATGAGTCTGTGGGGGCCCCTCAAACCAGCACTCATCGCCATAATGTTAAAAAAAATGGTCCAACAGCAACATTAAGAGGCCAACTTACGTTTGGACAGGAGTATCGGAACGACATTGAGAATTGTCAGATGGGGCCCCATTAAGGAGGTTTCCTACTGTCATAGTAAAACTTGCACATTCTGAGCCACTGCTTTTGTTTAAAGTTTGTCAGCCCTTTGGGGGGCCCAAGCAGTTACCTGCCAGAAGACAAGTAGAACCTGTGCATACAATTTGGCATTAATCAGAGGTGGGACAAAATCATTGTTTTGTAAGTCTCAAGTCCCGAGTCCTGAACTTTGAGTCCTGAACAAGTCACAAGCTCTCTTCACCTCTTTCAGGCTAATTCCACGTTTAACAGCTGATTCTCAATGACAGATTTTGTGATTCCATCCGTGTTTTCCGAGTCAAGAAAAATCATAGATCCCCAAAATAACAAACACATAAATCTCAAGTATGTTTGAGTCACAAGGCTCAAGTCAAGTCGTGAGTCATTAATGCTGAAGTCCAAGTCGAGTTGTAAGTACTTCATGATGTTGTTCAAAGTTATCAGGTCATGTGACTCGAGTCCACCCCTCTGGCGTTAATATAGTGGGAGTTAATTAAGAGTTGAGTGAGCGTGCTCAGGTCTGCAGGCGTGTCTTTGCAGGATGCAACAAGTGAACGTGATTCTCATGAACTCATTAAACATAAATATCATATTAAACATTTATTTCTCTCTTAATGTCAAGAAGGATCTAATTCCTCTGTTTGATTTAAAGTTGTCGTTCATGAACACATCTTTTAGGTATGTTCAGACATCTTTAGATCCACTGTGAGGAAATATATAAATTACCCTAACACACTTTCAATCTGAAATGTGTATGCATGTGTGTGTCATAGTTATGTTTGGTTTTTTTCGAGAAAATACATGCATACATATTTTTACTCACACATACCTGTATGTATAAATATGTATGTTTGTAGGTATGTCTCTCTCTCTCTCTCATATGTGACTGTCTTCATCTACTTTGTAAGTTACTAACTACAATCTCTTCCTGGGAGCTCCTGAGCTCTCTCTCGTCTTGTTGGTTCCTCATGATCGTTGGTGTAGACGGCGTGCTGTTTTCCAACTTTCTGTCTCGGAGTTTTTTCCTCGCTACTGTAATGTTACTGAAAGTTTCTTTGTGCTCATGATGGATTCATGTTTGGTCTTGGTAGAAAATATTCACAAGAGTAGGACCTGCGCTTGTTGTGAAGTGTTTGCAGATACAGTCATTATGATTTGGTCTTTAACTAAAGATGTATGCATGGTTGTGTGTGTGTGTGTGTAAATAACTTGAAACTTCAAAACTGACTGAAACAGCGTCATCACATGATAACGATCATCAAAATACAAGAAAACAACCAGAGTTGACTTGTTACCACGGAAAATTACAGCCTTTGTATCTCGAGATAACGAAATAAATATATTGAAATAAGGTGAAAGAATAAAAAAATTACATTTCTGGTTCGCGGGAAAACGGAGTAAAAATAAAATATTTGTTGGCCATGTTTGTCCTCTTAGGGCTTCCGTACTAATCCTCCCTTCTCTTAATGAAATCTTCATAATAAACAGTTTATCAGCTGTTTCTTTATGACGTCATCCACCCTGATGGTTGTAGACACACTCAGTGTGACATTCCGTCATCACACCCACCTCTCTCCTCTCTCTCACGCCGTCCTCCCCGCTCTGTTCCCGGCCTCTCTCCCACCGAACCTGCGGGACAAAAGTACACATTCTGGGGGGGAGGGGGGAGGATCCGTCTTTAGAGGCTGGGATGATTTAAAGCTCGATTATTTACTTTCTTATCTTTCCCCCTCTTTAAAAAATCACTTTCTCCTCTCCCTCCTCTCCCTTTCACTCCCCCCCCCCACCCCCCTCCTCCCCCCTCGCATCCCCGCACAGAAAGCGGGTGGATGGCCGCTCGTAATTGGCCGTGTCGGAGGCTTCATTGTCCGCTTCTTTTCAGGCCGCAGGTGCATATAGTAAAGCCGGAGTCTCCGCTCCTCCCCCGGGCCGCTTTGTTCCCTCTCCCCACTTCCCCCTCCCCCCCGCCGGGCAGAAAATTAGGGCTGCTTTCTGGGGGCTTCGTCCCCGGGCTTAACCCTTTCACCGACCGCCGGCTTTCTCATGGAAATGTGAGAGAGCCCCGCACCGGCTAATCGGTCACTGAGAGGAGGGGGGAGAGAGGAGGGGGAGGAGGGGAGGAGGAGGGGGGGGAACAGATGCAGCCAGGAGCTCCTTCAGATAAATTTAATTTAATTTAAGTGAGAGTGCATCAGTTTAAAACGCGTCTACAGCTGCAGACATTTATAAGTTGAACTTCCTGAGAACCTTCCTGCACGACCTGTCTCTGCAGAACTTCAGCAGATTCTCTAATTACTGACGTCACAGAGAGGAATGAAGTAAATGCCAACCTGCAACAAAAGGAACATTAATGCAAACATGTAAAAACCAAACAAGAGGGATGTTGAGAGGTTTTTATTCCGAGCTGTAGATTAAATCATGAAACTTACTTCACATCCGTTTAAGAACTTTAATATTCCTCCAACATGCTTCATGTGGGTTCAGTGTGAACATTTAGGACACTATGATAATATTATGCTTCTCACAGGCAGCATGATGGCTACTCTTCTTGAAATAAATCTGCAGGAACCAATCAGAGACGTCGACAGGAGAAAGTGATGTGTTCACAGTTACACAGGAATGAATGGACAGAACAGAAAGAACAAAGTGATGATCATAAAGTGTCTCTGTGAAGTTGACCTCACGTGTGCATGAATCAAAATAACTTTATTTATAACGCACACATTTACAGACACACTCAACATGAAGCATAGGTCCTAACCGTAGAATAACTATTTACAGTCTCTGGTCCTCACAGGAGGAGTCTGTAAAGTTCAAACAGAAACACAAGCACAGGATGCAAACGCTAAAGGTCAGCCCGAATAAATGCAAATAAAAGGAGTGAAGAAGAAACAACAGGCGGCGCTTGGTGAATGAATGCATGAATAAAAGATGCTAAACGGCGATGTCACTTCTTTCATACGATTTAAAAACACAGAATTCAACCAAACCTGCTTTGTTATCCTCATATTAAAACTGGTTTTCTTATCACAATCTGAATCATGCCAAATCTTCGGGAGCCAATCGTCCGTTACAGCAGGAATGAGTTTTCTGTCTTTCAGTGGACGTTAATGACGTCACGTAAAAGAAAGAAAAGAAGTAAAAATCAAACCTGCAAACAAGAAGCAGCAATCTCCAGTGTTAAATAATGAAGCCGATGCTGAAGTGTAAAATCCTGCAGTTCCTCGAGTGTCCACTAGAGGCTGGCTGCAGAAGCACAGGAAGTCACATACACATCCATTCTAAAAAGCCTGTTTTTACAGCAGAGATTAACATGTTTACAGCCTGGCTCAAAAAACCAAATAGGTTTGATTAGCTCATATCTTGATCGACACACGCTGTACGGGGGGGTGAATGTTTTGATGACTCATCAGTTTTGATTTGATGAAGGATGATGAGTTATTCACAATAAGGCGTGTAGCTGACCTGATTGAC